TGCGAAAAGCGCGAGAGAGAGAAAGGCGAAAAGCGCGTGAGTGCGTGAAAACTAGCAGATTTGTTTTTGGAGATGTGCTTTTTCTGTTTTTCTGGATCGAGCTGGGGTCCATTGGTGGCTAGGCTAGAGTCCATAGGTGGGTGGGAAGCGCGTGCGTGAGTGAGTGCCAGACTGTAGCTGTGCGCGCGTGCATGAGAGTGCGTGTGCGTGGCCTCTTTGTGCCAGAACAGAAGTGTTTTGAATTTGTGCTTTTTCTGGATTAAGATGGAGTCCATAGTTGGGTGGGAAGCGCGTGCGTGAGCGCTCGTGCGTGAGCTCGCGTGAGCGTATGTCAGCTGAATGAATGAGTGCCAAGCTGTAGCGCGTGCGTGAGAGCGTGTGCGTGGCCCTCTTTGTGCCAGAGGAGATTTGTTTTGGATGTGCTTTTTCTGTTTTCTGGATCAAGTTGGGGTCGGTCCATAAGTGGGTGGCGAGAGAAAAGCGCGTGCGCGAGAGTGCGTGTGCGTGGCCTCTGTGCCAAAACAGAAGTGTTTTTGGAGATGTGCTTTTTCTGGATTAAGCTAGAGTCCATAGGTGGGTGGCGAAAAGCGAAGCGCGTGCGCGAGAGTGCGTGACAAGGAGAACATCAAGCTGGAAAAGCGAAAAGCGCGTGCGTGAGAGTTTGTGAGTGTGCGTGGCCCTCTTTGTGCCAGAACAGAAGTGTTTTGGATTTTGGAGATGTGCTTTTTCTGGATCGCGCTGGGGTCCATAGGTGGGTGGGAAGCGCGTGCGTGAGCGCTCGTGCGTGAGCGGAATGAGTGAGTGCCAGGCTTTAGCTGTGCGCGTGCGTGAGAGCGCGTGAGTGTGCGTGGCGTCTTTGTGCCAGAGTAGAAGTTTTGGAGATGTGCTTTTTCTGGATTAAGATGGTGTCCATAAGTGGGTGGGCAGCGCGCGTGCGTGAGCGGAATGAGTCAGTGCCAGACTGGGTATGTGCGCGTGCACGTGATCTCTACCCTCTGTGTGCCAGAGCGGATGTGTTTTGGAGGCTTTTAAAAAAAAATTATTCATGTTTTTATTCACGTGACAAGGTCAAGTACAAACAATGAAAAGTAAGGATTT